AAAACATTTATGATCTCCAAGTGAACTATGATAGGAAATTCTGTTTCTCATTTGAAAGCGTACCATATGAATAATCCAATGCAGAGAAATTGTATGCTTCTATTATTTTAGGTTTAGAAATGAAATGTAAGAATTGCATCCTTATGACAAATGGAAAACGAATCAGATTTGCTTGACTTGCCCAGTGATTTTTAATTTTTAGAAACGTCTATGTAAACTAACAATTATGATGATGCAGCCAGTACATAATTATATCTATGAAGTAATGGATAATGAGCACTTTTTTTAAATGGAAAAAAAATCCCTAATATAATTGTTAGATGATGACAATACATTAATGCAGTACTTAAAAAGAATGAAAATTACCATGATCCCTGAGGATAGTGTATATGCATATGTACATTCTTTCATGTGAAAAATGATAACACAAAAATGGTGAGATATTAAGACAATGTGGCACCCACTGTCTTTTCCCCAATAAATTCAGTCTTACATCTTAGGATGGTACATTTCCAGAGAGGCTGGCAAGCAGATGTTTCGTAGCTCGTAAGAAATGGAATCAGGATTTGAGCCAACTCTTCTTATCTCTGGGGCCCATGTACATAACCCTTAACTAGAGCTGTAGCCAATTTTTAAAAAGACACAATTTAATAGAGGGAATATTTCTTCCTTCTCCCTCTCTCCTTCTCCCCACTACCCCAACCACCCAACCAAATTAAATTTGTGTTGTAAAATTCTAAAATGCCATCTTAAATACTCTGTTGGAGAAAACATTGCTAAACTGTTCTCCTGCTCTATGGCATTTGTCTGTGGGAATATTTCACATCAGCATTGCAGAAGTGCTCTGCCTTACTACATTGTTAAAATTGCTTTGATCTTTTAGGCCCCATCTGTACAAAAAATATTCATGGTAACAGTCGGTGTCATCTGTCAAGAAAATAGCCGCTGCTGATGACCATGCACTTAGCCAGTTGATTCTGTGGAGACAGACTGTTAATATAGCCCCCAAATCATAAATCGATCATAAAATAGTTCATTTAATGCATATTTATAGGCTCATCTCAGGTTTTCATAATGGGTGTTGTGGCATAGAATTGCAAATGTTTCATAACATGTAGGTACTTGTTGTCCTGGCCGGTGTGCTAAGTGGTTAGAGCACTGGCCCTCACAAAGAACATTAGGCAAGTGTTAAATGACACCATTATTGTGTCTGTTTGCATCTGAAGGGTCAAGGGTTTGATTCCCAGTCAAGGGCATGTACCCACATTGTGGGCTTGCTACCCACACCCGGTCGGGGCGTATGTGGGAGGCAACCAATTGATGTGTCTCTCTCACATTGATGTTTCTCTCTCTTTCACTCTCTCTCCCTCCCTCCCTCCATTCCACTCTCTCTCTGAAAAGCAATGGAAAAAATATCCTAGGGTGAGGATTAACAACAACAACAACAACAAAATTAGGTACTTGTTTTTTGGATGTGAGAAATCTTATACTGAACTTTGAGAATAAAACTGGGGGATCAACTCAGAAAGAGTATAATTCCTCCTCTGATTTATAGGCTCATTCCCTATTGGTGTTGCTTAATCACAGTTTGCTGTCTGAAGGTAGGGTGGGCCTAAATGTAGTTACTGGGACTTTCCATAAAGTTAGCCCTGGAACATTAATTAATTGCCACAGTCATTAGTAAAAATAGCATTTAAAATACACATTTAAATTGTATTTAAAATGTAAAGATATCTTGACAGAAAGTATGTTACTAATTTTGCAAATGAGGATGATGGAAATTACTTTTTATAACCGAGATGTGACCAAACACTAAGTCTTCGGAGCAGATTGTAAGCTTCCGTGTTCTGACCCCTCCTCCCAAGAGAGAATGGCATTCTTAGGACTTAGACGCTCTTTTCCTCGTAGCAGGAAGGAGTGGTTGTCGGATGGGTAGTTCAGGTAGGTTTTATTGTCCTCTTACCTTCCTGATAATAACCAAGGGATTGCTGAAACAGCCTTTCCCGAGTACTTCTGAGCTGTGTGCTCCCTGACATTTGGACTTTGACACGTCTTCCAGGATAATACGTGTGTACTCATGCCAAGTCATTGCCCATCTAAAGTGCAGCACAAAGTGCTGGAGTGCTTGGTTCACAAACAGTCCTCAACGGGCCAGCTCTGCAGACGAGACCCCCTGAGGGAGGCCACTCTCTGCTTGCTTGCAGCCCAGCAGGTTCTCAGGGCTGAGGCTCCTCATCCTGGCATCTCCCCAAGGCTGTTTCTGTCCTGTCCTTGTGTTTGTATTCAGCTCTTTCCAGGTTCTGTTCACTTTCTGTCTCCCCCAGCAATGTGACCAATGCAACAAAGATTGTATATGGTGGCTGCCACCATTCTGGACATTGAGGCAACACAAAGGACCCCATCCGCCTTCTTGACTGACCAAGTCACCCATTAGTTAAATACACAAGTAACCTGTTCAAGAAACTGTAATTTGTCTCTGATGATCGTTCACTCCCTTGGTTCCAGCTCAACTGAACGCCACCACATCCACCTTGACTTTAGAGCAAATGATGATCTTTTTTTTCTATCAATAAATTCTGACATAATTGCCGGAACCGGTTTGGCTCAGTGGATAGAGCATCGGCCTGCGGACTGAGGGGTCCCAGGTTCGATTCCGGTCAAGGGCATGTGCCTGGGCTGCGGGCACATCCCCAGTGGGAGATGTGCGGGAGGCGGCTGATCGATGTTTCTCTCCTATCGATGTTTCTAACTCTCTATCTCTCTCCCTTCCTCTCTGTAAAAAATCAATAAAATATATTTAAAAAATAAATAAATAAATAAATTCTGACATAATAAAAAAATTCTCTAGTTAACTTAAAAGCTGGGTCAGTGGGCCCAGGCTGGGAGGAATGATTCATAACTGATGTTTTTAGGTTTTTGCTATGGTCTTTGAGAATATTCCTGTTTAGACAATTTAGGGTTAGATATTTCTGCAGTGAGAAAAAGGCAATTGATAAAAAGGGAAGAAGGAAGAATTTATCTCAGAAATAAGTGAAAGTGGCTGTTTGACCATTTATCATGGTGACCATTCACAATAATGGTGTCATTTACATGTTTTGAGCCTTGGATAGTCAAAAAGAAAATGTTGACTTATCAGTCAGTGCCAAAGACCAATTATATAATAATGTAATGATACCTGTAGTGCCTTATAGAATTTTTTAAAATTTAAGATACTTAATTGACTCATTTTATATAAGGCCAATTTTTTTAACACTTGCCTAATTTCTTTGCTGGTCTTCGAAATCCTCTGGTGGTAATTTTTTAAAATTATCCACTGGAGATTTTGCTCATGGATACCAAAAGTAGATGTCATGAAAATCTCTGGCCGATACTCCTGAGTAAGTGACCACTGAAAGCATACAAACATTCTGAGATCAAACCTTCTAATTATTTTTTACCGATATTGTCTCAATTGTATTGCGCACTTTATTGTCTTTTAAATAATACAGAGTGAAATTTTAACTTTTTTGAGGACTACATGCCTAGCACAAAGCCTTGGGTGTGGAAGGCATCTCGTGTGTTAGAAATCTGCCTTCCATTTCAATGTAAAATGATACAGTGTTGTTTCAGGGACCACTGACGCTTGAAGGTCTGTTTGCATCTATACTAAGGATCCCAGTATATGTCTTTTTGTAATTGGTGATTATTGTATCTGCTTCCTCACTGTCTGATGCCACTGCTTAGGGCAAAGTGACTTAAACCACTTCTTCCACCCTTCAGATTTTCTCTCAGAAAAGCCAGAGCTGAAGATCACCAGAGATGAGGCAACTACCTTTGAACATCAGTAACCTCATTTTTATACCCAGATCTCTCTGTAGACTCTCTGTCGAGCAAAGTTCTGGGGGCTCTGATACTAACTTGAGGGCCCTATACCTTTGTGTTTTATACCAATGTTTTTCTATACACGTTGTGTATAGAAATGTTTCAACTTTCCTTTTCCCTCAAAGCTCCTGACTCCAGCTTCAACGATGTTTCCCATGACATAGATAAGTTAGCTCATCTCTCTGTACCTCAGGCTTCTCATCTGTAAAATGGGGATGTCAATGCTACCAACCTTACCGAATTGTGGTGAGGACTGAGTTCATGTTTGTAAAGTTCTTAGAGCAGTGATGCATAGTAAGGGTTAAATAATTTAAGAAAAAGAGTGCCTGATCACTGGATACATGTTCTTTAAACTTTTTTTTCTTTTCTTTAAACTTCTTAAAGGGAAGATCTGAGAAGATGCCCTGGCATGGGGTGATTTATACTTCCTTTGCCGAGGTGGGAGTGGCGTGATGTGAGGAATTTGTATCTGAAACTGAACTGGAAGGTATTACCTACAGTACCTGTAGGCAATGCTGGCTGTGAGCCTGGGTCCCGACTGGATGAAGCAATGAATGGAAAAATGTTCATAACGATTCCTGTGGGGCTCTTCGCAGTAGTTTTAAAAGGAGACAAGAGAGAAAAACTAGAACTATGTGGGGAAGGAGGGGATAGGGGGCAACGCTTATACCAAGCGTTAGCGGTTTTGTTCTGTGTGCGAAGGCTGAACGAGTGCTTCTCAGAAGAGATGATACACATACACACATTTTCTTAAACAGCCGTGTGGCTTATGCGTTATCTCAGCTTCTCCCGTGGAGGAGGGCACGGGCCACCTGCTTTGTTTAAGAAAGCAGACGCCACCGGTGTGTGGCCTGTGCGAGGGGTGCTGCGCCTGGAGGCTTAGAACCCCTTCGTGCTGTCCCAGGTGCTTCCTGGGAGCCTGAGGCAGACGCGCACTGCGCTCCTGCTTGTCTCCGCCTGACTGTGCGTGGACAGGGCAGGCCCTGGCATTCCTGGCACAGGGCTTGGCCGCCCCTTTCCTGTGATGGCTGCCCTTTGCCCCAGCTCCCTGGGCTGAGGCAGCTCAGCTGTAATTTGCTCTGAGGCTCCGGGGTGCAGCCCTGTCAAACCGCAGCGAGTGTTTATCCTGTAATCCGCAGACAAGAAGAAGGGAGGCAAATTCCAGCCTTTTAAGAAGTTGTTTGGCAAAAGGAAAAAGAAAGACACTTCGATTTCCCGGGAGCCGGAGGCAGGAAGGAAGAGCCACTCTCCCCAGAGCGTCAGCAATGGCACCTTCTCTTCCGATGAGGAGACCCTGGAGGACAGCCTAAGGTAACGACTCACCTTTCCTGTTTGTAGATCTCCTGTGGGGCCCGGGTGGGGAGTGGATCCCACAGGGTGTGTCCCATCGCCGCCGGGAAGGTGGGAGACTTGCGGTGCTTGGTGTGCCCTGTGGAGGAGTCGCCTTGGGGAGCTGGTAGAGGAGTGTGGCCTCGCCCCCTGGGAGAGCCCTGGGCTCTGCGCCTTCCTCTTGCCGCCCTCGCTGGTCGTGGCTTGGCTCCACAAGTGTCCTTGGATGGAGGAAGACCTCCTTTCTCTGTCTCATTGTTCTGCAAGGAGAAAGGTGGGTCCTAGATTAGATTTTGCACCCAGATTGAGGATACGGGCTGCCCAGGCACAGGGTGGTCGCCCTTCCTACCCCTGGCCATCTCTAGCAACTTCCAGAACCTGTCTGGGTGCGATGGGCTTTCAGATTCTGTTCTTTGTTTTCTGTGTTCTTCTCTGCCTCTCCCCGTCTCTCTCAGAACAAACACAGGCGCTAAATCTGGCCGTGATAGCGTAAGGAACTCAGAAAGGCAGGGTCAGAAGGTCTGTTCTCACCCGAGTGCTGGGAATTGGAGTCAAGTCAGAGATGTTGCTGCTGACAGCTTAGAAGTCAGTCCCTCCGAGACTTGCCTGCCTCCAGCTGGCACTTGTCACTTCGTATGGAAGTCATTGATTTGCTTGGTTGTCTCTCTCACTCGACTGCTAGTGTCCAGGAAGTCAGGGACCAGGTTTTATTCGGCCTCATCTTAGGTGCTCAAAAGGTGTTTCCTATGAATGCCTGGCACTGATGTAGTTCAGCTGGACCTTGACTAACGTTTCCTTCTACATCGTTTCATTATAACATTGATGAGAAAATGTGATTCCCCGCCAGGCCACTATCTGTGTGGAGTTTGCACCTTCTCCCCAAGTCTGTGTGGATTTTCTCTGGTTTCTAAGCCCCATCCCAAAGACATGCATGTGAGTTGAGCTGCTGTCTACATTGTCCCAGGCTGAGTGTGGATATGGGTGGAGTGTGGGTGTGGGTGTGAGTGTGAGTGGCCCTTCCAGGAAGGGTTGGGTCCTGCTTTGTGCCCTGAGCTGCAGGGATAGGCTCCAGCCACCTGTCACCATGAAATGGAGTAAACGGGTTGGAAAAGAATGATTTTACTCGTTTTTATTAGTCTTTTTTAAATGGATGTATAACTCACATTTATGTTAACGTTTAATATTAGAAATGTTTGGGGACTTGATTTAGAAACTAGAGGCCTGATGCACGAAATTCATGCAAGGGGCCCAGCCCTCGCAGCCCCGCCCACTGGTCATTCAGGAAGGTCGTTCCAGAAGGTCAGTCTGCCGTCCAATCTAATTAAATATTGCCTCTTTATTACACAAGAATTTAGTGATGTTTTTGTAACCAGAAATAGGGATCTTAACTCTTTTTTGTAGCCACCTGTAGTAAAATTGGTTTCATTATGTGTCATTTCACTTAAAGTTGCCGCTTCTAAGAACCTCTCAACAAGAACGATGTCCAACTAGTGCGCGTGGAAGTGCTGTGATGTGTGATATTCTTACTGTATTTCAAAGACAGGGACAGAAGCATCCTCTGTGGTGTGTGTCAGTGAGCAAATTCGAATAGACACCACAGTGGTGCACAAATGACAGAATCCGCAGGCAAGCCTTGTGCTGAAGCCCCACACGTGCTCACCGACAGGGCTTGTTGGTCTCAGTGCTGCCTCTCTTCCTGCACAGGCCATGTTAGCTTTCCGTTGACTGTAGTAAGAAAACTTGGCTTTAACTGGAGGAAATGATTTTACTGGAAGGTGAACACAGTTAGGCTGACCTCACCCGGGCTGTTGGGATGTCAGTACGGATCCTTGTTGAGGATTGTCCAGGACGAATCCCTCAGTTGTAAATTAGGCATGTGAGCCTTTTTGCATCTCAGTGTCAGAATGAGGTACAGATACCAAAATGGTACCAAATAGTTGTGCAGTGCAACATGGGACTGAGTCTAGAAAGTTCTCCTTTGTTGTGTGTGGTTTTTTTTGTGGGGGGGAGGAGGGGTTAAATATAGTTTTATTGATTACAGAGAGGAAGGGAGAGGGAGAAAGAGCAACATCAGTGAAGAGAGAGAATCATTGATGGGTTGCCTCCTGCTCGCCCCCTACTGAGGGGGTCCTGCAACCTGGGCATGTGCCCTGACCAGGGATCGAACCGTGACCTCCTGGTTCATGGCCTGATGCTCAACCACTGAGCTGGGCTAGGGCGTTCTCCTTTGGGAGGACGGTCCTATGAAGTCGCACCTGGTCCTTTCCGTGGTTTTGCCAAGTCCCTGACCTCCTATTGAACTGTGCCTGGACCCTGCTTGTTCTCTTCTCACTCAGGTTCTGTTCCTTCACCCCGTGAAGTTTCCCTTAGGTTTGAGGTATTACAGAGCCTTGGAAAATTCCACACTGGATCAAACAGCGATAAAAGACAGGTCACGTCGCCTGTTCTTATTATCGACTCTTGTTAAACCCACATTTGTGAGACAAATGCTATATTTAATTGACCCTTTTCTTTATAATGAAGCTGGAAGGATAAGCTCTGGATAAAGAGTTTTCTAAAATGTCTCCTTACAGATTTTAAAAATTAAAAAGGATGGGAATATAGACGTCTTTTAAAACATGTACCCCCCTTTCTTCTCAGCAATTGCCAATTGCCATATAAGTCCACCCACAGAGTATTCATTTCTTACAGTACAGCTAAACTGCTGGTTATTTGTCCTGTTCACAGATGCAGAAGGTGAAAGGTGCTGTTTCCAATAATTCTAATTTTCAGTTCACAGCTCCATCAGTGGGTGTGTGACGTTGCACTGTGTAATGATTCACAACATTTCTGCGCCTTTTATTTGCCGTCTCCAAAATAGGCCGCTCTCGCTAAAACACAAAATTCTGTTAACCTGGTCTTGGGTGGAGGTTCCCAGGAGGCGGATTTCAGCCCGACGTGAGGGAGGATTTCCTAATTACGAGAGCTGCCTAAAATTGGGGAGGCTGAGTGTGTGCCAGCAGGGGCCGGGACTGATGAAGGGGAATTTCGGCACTGGTGGGAATTTAAAGGAGCTGAACTTTAACTCCGAATAGCTGCAATTTTAGAAATGTCTCCATGCCCAAAAATAGCTCATTATTGATCTGCTCCTTCTGTCTGAAATTTCTCATTTCCTTTGGGCTCTTACAGCATTCTATTCTTTCTCTAGGTGAGAAGCCTTCATTTTTCCTAGGCTGCTGCTTTTAAATTATACATGCCTGTGGGAAAAGCAAAACAGTAAAACATGACCCGTTTTTAACAACTTAACGTGACTTCCTTTATTAATTAAATACAACTACGTGGATATTAAAAGGGGAGAAAGGGTCATTTTGGTGAACAGGTTTGGGAAATTCTGGGCCAAAACAAATTAAATAGGATCCTTTACATAGGACTTCAGAGAGCCTTCCTTCACTATGCTGATTTACTCTTAGAATCTGCAAAAAGAATAGGGTATAGAGCAGTGGTTCTTAACCTTGGCTGCACATTAGAAACACCTGGGAATCTTTTTAAAATCCCGATTTCTGGGCCTCATCCTCCGGAAATTCTGTTTCTTTGTTATGGGGTGGGGCCACAACATTAGTAACAAAGAAACAGAATTTCCGGGGGATGAGGCCCAGAAAACAGGATTTTAAAAAGATTCCCAGGTGATTCTAATGTGCAGCCAAGGTTGAGAACCACTGGTATAGAGCATTCCCAAGATTGCTTTAGCCACAAACCCTTCTCTCATGGAGACTATCCTGTAGCATAGATTACAGCTGCCACTTATTGAACTCAGTACAATGTGTTTTGTATAGATGAACTCATGTAATACTTACCAAGGCACTCTGAGATTGACATTCTCGTCCCCATTTCAAAGATGAGAAAACAAAGGCCAGAGAGTGACTCTGGTAAGTTGCTGAGCCACTGCTCCAGTGTGAAGTGTCCATTCTGAACCATTCTGAAGGCTGTTCTGCTGCAGCCTTCCTGGGGAGCTAGTCACGTGGCCCTGAGGCACCGGGCTCAGGTGTTTTCCTGCCCTTAGCTGCCTGCCCAAGGCTCTCCTCCTCACTGGGACTCCACTTGTCCTGCTTCCAGTTTCTGCCTAACATGCAGCATTTACTGCCGTGCCATGCACAGCTACAGCACTCTATAGTGAGTGCCAGCTGTAGGCCGCAGTGAGAACTGAAGGGGCTCCAAGGAGGGTGAGCGCACTCTGGGACTGGAGCTGTCAGGGAAGGGTCAGGAATGAGGAGCCCTGAGCTGGCTCCAGGAGATGGGCGGGATTTGGAGTGGCTAAGAGACAAGGCACGGACATCTCAGATCCCAAATGACCGCAGCAGAGACTTCCACGTTCAAATGAATATGGCAAATAGAATTGGAGGGAATTTCTGTAGCTTAATAAAGGGCAGCTACAAAAAATCCAGCGTACCGGTGATGTATTACGGAATTGTGCACCTGAAGCCTAGTATAGTCTTACTAACCAATGCCAGCCCAATAAATTCAATAAAATAAGTTACTTAAGCATATACTCAAAAAAAGAAATTAGAGAAGATTTAAATAGCCCTGGCCAGTTTTGCTCAATGGTTGATTCCTGGTCAAGGACAAGTACCTGGGTTGCAGGATCCCCGCCCTAGTTAGGGTGGGTGTGGGAGGCAACCAATCAATTGCCTCTCACATCTTGTTTCTCTCTTGCTCTCCCTCCCTCCCTCCCTTCTGCTCTCTCTCAAAAGAAAAAAAAAATCAGTGGAAACAATATCCTCAGGTGAAGATTAACAACAACAAAAAGAATCTAAGTAGATGGAAAGGCATCTCATATTTATGGATCAGAAAACTTAATATTGTTAAGATGGCAATACTCTCCAAATTGATCTACAGATTCATTGCAATCCCTATCAAAACCTGTGTCCTAAAATTGACAAGTGGGTCCTAAAATTCACATGGAAACACAAGGGACCTAAAATAGCCAAAAAAGTCTTGAAGGGCTC